ATATATATATTTGGTCGGTGTCAACCTTATGTATGTACTTTCGTTTTTACTAAATAATTAGAGAGTGAGCCCGCGTAACTACTTATTTGGGGTGTAGGGTTTAAAGGTGTTCTCATTTCCTCCCTTCTTTTATCGGCCTTCTCCTTCTCTTACTCTCTATTTCTTTCCAGTGGAGTGGCTAGGGTTTTGGAAGTAGCAGCCATGAGCAAGCAAGGAGGATCGGATGAGAAGCAGCAGCCCGCCTTTAACATGTCTGATCTCTCTACTGCTCTCTCTGCCGAGGATAGGGCTGGTCTGGTCACTGCTTTAAAGGTGCCTTTTCAACTCTGCATCTTTCTTTCTCTCTCTAAGCCATTTGTTTGTTTCCTTTCTCTCTCAAGCCTCCTTTGTGCTCTTTCCCCGTTGCTGATGCGGTTTTCTTGTTCACCGTCTCTGTCAATGTTTTTATCAGAGCAAGTTGCAACGCTTGGCTGGGCAGCACTCTGACGTGCTCGAGTCTATATCTCCTGTTGTGAGGAAGAGGGTTACTGTTCTTCAAGAAATACAGGTGAAACCCTAACGTATTCATTCGGAATTTTTATATTGACTGATGGTGTATGGATGAATGGTTTATTCTTTGAGGATAACATGTGTTTGAAGGTTTTATTGGGATCCATGGAACTTCGATTGTTTTATTATAGGATCTCTAAGCCTTTTTAGTTTACTTATAAAGCAAGCGGATGGTCCTCTCTGGATGTTTGTTTATTTATCAATCAAAAAAAGATGTTTCTATGTCCAACATAACATATTTAGGCTAAATAGCAGGGGACTCTTTCATCTGTACCTTCGTATTAAAATACTTGATCCCCCTTTTTTCTCTTTTATATTTCTCTTTCCACTTTAGTTGTTCTTTGATCCTCCTTTGTATTGAAAGTTTTGATCCACTAGAATCTTAGACGTTCAAGAGAACGGAGTTTTAACATAGGGATGATAAATTTGTTTTGTTGTCCATTTGGATGACTGAGAAAGCTTATTCTTATTGACAGCTCGCCTTTATCCATAAAAAGGAAAATTAACTTTAGTGCAATCCACTTGACAGATTTACCGGATGTTGTGCTCTATTATAGAAGCTGCAATTTGCTTCATACCATTGGAACTGGTTATGCATTTTACATGTTGTGTGGCTTGATGATTGCTTAATACCAGGGCACATCCTAGTTCATAGCGTTGGAACTGGATATCCATTTTACATGTTGTGTGGCTTCATGATTACTTAATACCGAGGCACATCCTAGATTTTCAAAAACCTTTGTTTTTAAGTTTTAATATATTAGATCAACTTCATTTCTTACATTTTCTTTTGATAATCATTAAAAGTTTCTACTTTCTAATGGGTGGCATCAACCCAGTTTGGGTCTTCCAAAAAATCTTAGGAAAAGTGACTTTATTATGAGGATACTGATATCTGAAAAGCATTTCAAAGCTTCCTCCAAGAATCTAAAACCTTATGGGAAACTAAAGTGGGTCTTATCCATATCCCATGAGCACTTTTGAAACGGTTTTAAGGTCTGTAGGATGATTTAGAGTAAAATTTCAGTTCAATATTTGTAAATCATTCAAATATTTGTGAAAGAATTTTTTTATTTGATATTTTGTGAAAGAAAGATATTTAAACGAAAGTATATTATAAGAGCTACTACCTCAACACAAGAAAGTTATTACAAGAAAATAAAGTTTTTGAGTTCTCATGTAGTTCTCGTGCATGACCATATTGTTGCAGTTGTGGAATTTTTCAAGTATTCCATGCCACAACTGTTTCATTTTTCTTCCATATTCTTTGTTATTTCTTTAATTATATTTGGGAACTCACATTGCCCCCTGCACTCATGCATGTTATTCATAGTTTATGTCTAGTTGAGGGTGAAACTTGGTTGGTTTGTGCTCATTTTGCTGATGCCACTCTTTAAAATCCCTAATGCAATGGGCAAGTCATACAATAGAAAAGGCAAAAGAGTTCAGAGTTTCTTTCGAATGGATTGCAAAACTTTGCTTCAAAATATTGTTTTGCATTTCTACTTGAATGGCATAAGGTGCTGCCAAACCCTACCCCAATGACTACCAGACAATCTTTAGGTATATTGCATTTTGATGTAAGAATTAATGAACACCCCTTGCCAAACTCAATATTAAAAGCTTTCTATGACTTCAGGTGTTACAAATTAACCTTTTCTCTAGGTTTAGGTTGCTAGCTTTGACAACCCGCAATGTACAAGGTTTTTTCCACTCTCTTGTTTTGTATGCTGAAGCTCCATTCTTACATTTGAGGTCTACCATGCTTTCAATGTCAAAGACAACCTATAAATCCTCAGACACATCTGGTATTAAATGTCTATGATATGTCTTGTTAAGTATATTCTTATGATTCCTCGTAACGTCCCGCAATGTCCACATTAAGGTAATGTTTGCTAATATAGGTTTTATAAAATGAAAATTTAGTTGCAAAAGTATCAGGCATAAGCTGTCACTGGATTTCTCAAAGTACCACAGTCACAAAATAAATAAGCACCATTGTGAGATAAAAATGATATATACTGTCAGGGGTTGGTCAAATTTTAATTTAATTGTTTAACATATTCCTTTTGATGCATTTCATCTATTTTACCCTGAGATACCCATATGCTTGCATTTTGCAATCTTACTCGGGAGGACACATGTAGTATTGATCATTTTAGTCAGTATGATTGTGACAATAATTTGTGCAAGATCCAATTCTATATCACTTCATTGCCTCAGCTTGATGCAGTTTTGTTCCTATATTTTGGCATACTATTTTTTAGAAACCATTGGATGGAAATGCAAATTGGACCACAAGTATCGAGATTCTTTATTATAAGAACTCCAATGGCTCCATAGTATGATTGCTTTGTGCATTGACCTAGGGCTATACAATAATACATATTCCCTACTATTTGGTTCAATTTCCTATAAAGTAGAATGGTTTTTATTTATTGGCTTTGCTTGCACTAGGATGAGTCTTTTTAGGTCTTGTTTATTCATCTGCATTAAGTGATGCCACGGGTGTTTCAGAACGGAAATCCTTATCGAAGGGATCTAGGAATACTTAGATGGTCTAGTTGCTTCTTAGGACGAGGTCCATAATTGAAGTCATAAATACGGCTTTCACACAATCATAATCTCCTGTACAGACTTATTCTTGTGGGTCAGGATTTGATTAATCTGTCACTTGAATTGTACTGTTCCGGAGATTTAATTACATTTGAGTTGGAAATTAAACCTATTGGTGATATTCTTGACATAGCTGGTCTAGTCCAAATCATGCTGTAACCAGCCCTCGATTTGATTAGAGTTGTCAGCTTCAATGATATGAAAAATAAAAAAATGTTGAAAATATTTGAAAGGAAATAAAGTAAAATACAATATGATTACAAATATATCATTTCATACTTCTGTTAAGAGGAATGAAATCAAAACTAATTTCCTTTTAGTACAAGAATTTAATGGAAATATTTTATCTATAAATATTTATTATTGTAGATTATCACCCAAAGAAAGCAGTGGAGATCATATCATTGGTCCCAATGATGGACACGGAATATTCGCCTAGTGTACAGATAATTTCAACTGCCGATTATAGGATCAGATGTTGGATCTCCCCATTGTGTACATTCTATTTCATAAGTCGCTGCCTCGCTGGTTTATGGTATACTTTCCCAAAAGCTTTCTTTCTGCATTGCTCAACTTGACTGACTCATGGTTCCTTGGTTACCTTTTCCCGATATGATGCAGTCACATTCACTACCATGACGTAGCCAAAGTTACAACTTTCTCTCCTGTTGTTGTTTTTGTCCATCCAACATATACAAATTGGCAATCTAAATTACTTCTGTTCAATCTACGTTCTGTTTGTTTAGCTCATGTTATGAGCTGTTTGTTGCTTCCATTTTTAAACCATTTTTTCTTTCCTGAGTTCTATAGACCTTTTTCCTTAGTTTCTTGAGTAGCCATGAACAGATTTTTAGTTTCATGTCATCATTTAGCATGTAAACACTTGTTTTATAGTTTTTCAATTCAAACCTCTAGGTCCCAAAATTGCTTCCTGTAATTCTTCGTGCTTTGACTTATGATTAGGTTGCAGATTATGTACCATGGTACACACAGAGGCATATATACAGAACCTTCCTTTAGGTTTACTCAAAATTTTGTTGACTGTCGACCACTTCTGTTTCTGATGGTTTACCAAAAATGTAACCTTATGGGTATGTTAGTGTTTGCAGTGGAGGCTGCCTTAGTGTTAAATTTGTGTTTGATGTTTTTAGAGTGAATATGATGCGTTGGAAGCTAAATTTTTTGAAGAAAGAGCAGCTCTTGAAGCCAAGTACCAGAAACAATATGAACCATTATACACAAAGGTACGAAAGATTATTTTCTTTTTGAAGCAGTTAATTTTATAGATGATCAGCTCTGTGCATTTTTCTTTGATCTCTCTCTCTCTCTCTCCCTCTCCGTCTCCGTCTCCATCTCCCTCTCCTCCCCCCCCTAAACCCCTTCCCCATTGTGTGTGTGCATGTGTTCCATTTCTTATGACCCTCAACTTCTGCAAATATTTCAGCGTTTTGAAATTGTAAATGGTGTCGTGGAAGTTGATAGTGTGAAAAATGATACTACTGAAGAAACTGCTGCTGATGATAATGGTAAATTTTTATTTGGTCCTGGATGGACTACATTAGCCATCTTTATATTTTTGCTTCTTTTTTTTAAACAGTGTTATATTGAATCCTGCATACTCATGTTCTTCAGCGAAAGGTGTCCCCGACTTTTGGCTCACTGCAATGAAGACCAATGAAGTTCTTGCTGGAGAGGTGAGAAAATATCACCACAAAATTGGTGTTGCTTAATATGCATACTAGAGGGAGATTTGGCCTCGTCAATGGTGACCAAACTTTTTGTTTCCTATTCTTTGCAAATTCAGATCTATGAGCGCGATGAAGGGGCACTTAAGTATTTGAAGGATATCAAGTGGTGCAAGATTGAAGATCCCAAGGGTTTCAAGCTGGAATTCTTCTTTGACACAAATCCATTCTTCAAGAACTCAGTCTTGACAAAAACATACCATGTGGAAGAGGATGATGAGCCTCTTCTAGAAAAGGCTATAGGGTCGGTAGAATATTTCAAACTTTGATCATCTCAATGCTGGTGTTTGTTACATATTTTATGCACTGATACTAATGTTGGTTTTTTGTTGTAGGACTGAGATTGAGTGGTATCCTGGGAAGTGTCTCACACAGAAGGTTCTTAAGAAGAAGCCTAAGAAGGGAGTGAAGAATGCCAAGCCTATCACCAAAACTGAACCTTGTGAGAGTTTCTTCAATTTCTTCAAACCTCCTCAAGTCCCAGAAGATGATGCCGATATTGATGAGGACACGGTTAGTTTCATGATGCTCTTTTTTTGGATTCTTATGTTGGATCAGATTTTGGACCATACATCAATGGTGTTTGCTACATGGTAACAAAGGGGCATGCATCCATTGGATAATAAACAATGAAGATTAATCCTAGCAGTGTCTCTGGTTCATTCACCTAGCTATAATTACTATGCGCCATCTGTCATTGGAATGCATGTCGAATGTTCCTTTGCAGACCATCTACCATTCAGGTGTAAGGTGCTTTGCCTTCTTATAAAGCTAATTGAACTTTAAACTGTGGTTGAGAGAAGAGAATGATTGCCTTGAGATGTTACCTGGACACCTCGTTGGCATCTCTCTCTCTCTCTCTCTCTCTCTCTCTCTCCATACGTATTTCTAGGTTCATTTGATTCATGAATCTGGTTTGTGATATTTGTTTGTGCGTATGGCATTTAACAGGCCGAGGAGCTGCAGAATCTGATGGAGCAGGATTATGATATTGGGTAAGTCTGTTAATCGTGACTTTTGGGTTGTGCCACTCGTGAATTAGCACATGAAGAGTGAGGCTTTGTTTTTGCAGGACCACGATTCGAGACAAGATTATTCCACATGCAGTTTCATGGTTTACCGGGGAGGCTATTGATGGAGAGGAGTTTGAAGGGGAGACAGGAGATGAGGAAGATGATGATGATGACGACGAAGATGGTGATGATGATGAGGATGAGGAAGATGATGATGTGGAGGATGAGGATGACGATGACGAAGATGAAGAAGAGGAAGGGAAAAGCAAGAAGGTGGTATAGATGGGCTGTTTCAAGTTTTCAACAGGCACGCACAGTTTCTCGTATAAATAAGTTTTATAAATGTGTCAATGTATTTTTGATTAGTTTTTTGTTGGTCTTGCAGTCAGGAGTAGTTCGGTTGAAGGTAAGGCTTTTACTCTCTTTCTCTCTCTTCCCTCCTTCTAGAATGCAATTTACTGACATCAGGTTTCTATTTTTTGGAGTTCAGAAAGCCGGGTCCAGGCAGAATGGTGATCAGGGAGATCGACCAGCTGAATGCAAGCAACAGTAGCATGTGGCGTGAAGAATTAAGGAGATGAAGTGACGAAATTTCTTGGTTTTTTGAGCCTGAGGTTTTTGGGAATTACTTTCTGTTTTGTTTTCTTTTCTGTTTTCCTAGTGTTAACGAGAAGGGGTTGCTCTGGTAATTGGGTATATGTACCCGAATGCTGCGGTTGAGATGAAGAGCTCTATGGTAATCTTGGAGACTGCCATAGGGGCAATGGGTTTTGTCCGCCTGAGGTGGATTGATGAGTTTCTTGTACTTTCTTGTGTTTTGGGACGATCTGAATTTCTTTTTGTTTCATATTCATGATTTTTTCTTTGTTTCCATTGATTTTTTTAGACAATGGCCTGGCCCTATATTTACTTCATATTGTATTTGTGATGCCCTTATCATAAATATAAAGATGGTATGCATCGTTCATTCATCAATTCCTTAGGACTCCGACCAATATCATAGCCTGCAAATTCATATCAACTTTATGATTCGTATAACCTCTATATTACTTCAATTATATTGCTTGCGATGATTCGCCTTTGATTTGTTTCCATCTTTTTAATCGCTTTTATAGTTTCCCTTTCTTCGTTCTTCTTGGATTCTTTTGTTGTGGACTTGTTACTCCTAGCATGAGGTTTCGCACAATAACCTCTGTTAAAGGGAAAAAAATATGTAGATGTGGAATAATGTGACCATCTTTGTCATATGTCATATGTAAAACCAGTGTTTAAAAAAATGCCGACTCGAATTGGATTCGTATTGTTCGACTCGGGAATTGTCTTGGAGGGATCGAACCGTTAGAAAAATCGGGAATTGTCCAGTTTTAGAGAGAATCGGACTCTTCTGAACAGTGACTCATCGATTCATTGTACTGAATCGGCGAGTCCCGTGAAGAACACGGGTTGTACAGTATTTTTTACGGGATTTTTTGAAATTTGTCATTTTTTGATCATTTTTGTTTGCTTCTTTTGGCATGTGATCTAATTTGCTTGTTTTAAATAGTTTTATTCAGCTTTACACAAATTAAATGATTGAGAAATTTGGTGTTTTTTGGATCACGAAACTTGCATTTTTAGGGTTTTCGCCTTTCATTGTGTTTCATGCCAAATAAGGTATGAATCTTTCAAAATTTGTAGGCATGTTGATCCTAAAGTTGTTCATCAAAACCTTTTGTTACTAATTTGTGATAATCGTTGAGAAAAACAGAGTTTTTGGCCTCCGGTTCACAAAACCAGGTAAGAAGTTTTGGTATTTTTTTTTTTTGCCATATGATTAATTTCACTGCATATTTTGAAGATAATGAGTTCAATTTGTAGGGTTTTTAATCTTTATTGTGTCTATTATGATTTAACATATTCAATTTTATGTAATTTGGTCAATTACAACATGAAATTTGAGATGAACACAGAGATGTCTGCGGAACCAAATTTTCGTTTGTTTTTTTTTTTTTTTCGCCTTTTGATTTTTTTTTTTATGATATATTAAAAATAATGTGTTCAAAATTTAGGGTTTTGATTCTTTATATTGTTGTTTATCAGAAAATGTACTCAATTGGATGTAATTTATTCACTTAGAGGTGGATGTTTGAGTTAAAATGGCTTATGTAAGATGGCTCTATAAATAATAGAATTTTTTTTTTTTTTGGCAATCCATGATCGAATTTTTTGGAATACTCGATCGATTTTTTTGTAATCCATGATCAAATTGGTTTTTTTTTTTTTTGTAATCCATAATCGAATTTTTTGTTTTTTTTTTTTTTTAACCCATGATATAATTTTTTGTAATCCATGATCGAATTTTTTGTAATCCACGATCGAAATGTTTGTTTTTTTTTCTTGTAATCCATGATCAAATTTTGTTTTTTTTTTTTTTTGTAACCCATGATAGAATTTTTTGTAATCCATGATCGAATTGTTTTTTCTTTTTTTGTAATCTACGATCGAATTTTTTGTTTTTTTATGTTTTTTTTTTTGTAATCCATGATCGAA